TCAGCAACATTTCACCTGCATGAGAGAACCTTTTGTTGCATTTTCAGGCATAGCTGAATTCTTAGAACGTTGTTAGTAGCTTAAATAATGAACTTGCTTGTTTTCTCATGTATATTAAGAAACTTGTGCTTAAATTTAATTATTAACTCGTAACTTAACAGTTTTGTTAATTGTAATCAGAATGGTTCAAATAAATTGTTTGGTGAAATTTTTCTTCTTCTATTTATTATATCATGACTGATTTCCCATCAGATCTTTGTGTAGAGATCTTCATATCTTATTGAACACATTTTTGTTTTTTGGAGAATACTCTTATGCAAACAGCATTTCAGGCACGCTTTCCTCCAAACAACATACAAGCAAAGTGTTTGAATGTAAATTATCTACAAGTTTATAGGAAGGTTTGACGAAAACCATGTACAGTTCTGTTGTTTACTAAATACTTCGGTAGTTACATGAATTACTTGGTATTTAAAAATCAACATTATTAGAGGGTAGAGAAGTGTTTGATTTTCTGTAAGAAGTGTAGTATTTTTGTAATGGTACTAGGAAGTAGAAGGGGATCCTGTGTTTTAAGCACAAAACGAGTTGTTGTAATTTATATGATTTAATTATATTAATATTATGAGATATTAAAGATTTTTTTTTACTGTTGAGTCACTTCATCTTAATAAATTCGTGAATAATTATTAATATATTTAGACACTGCACCTGTATGAAAATACTTAACCGTAGAACTCTGCAAACATCCAGCCCCTGAAGCTTTTTTTTACATTACCTTTCACCTAATTTCCAATTGACTTAATATTTAGATAATAAAGTTATTGAAGGTACGAAATGTTTCAATTTTCATTTCTAAGGCTAAGACTTGCATAGTGATCATGAAAAACCATTAATCTGAATATATTATTTAATATCCTTTTAATGACAGGGGAGTACAATAATTCATAGCACTTTCTAACCCATTTTTTATCTTAATTTTAAGAACCGATTTGATTTCCATATTTAAGAAATTTACTCAAAGTTACTGATTAATTGAATTAACTGAGAATTCTGCCAAACAGTTCTCCAGAATATCTACTAACTTGTATCCTTCTTCCCACAAATCTTTGAATGTAGTGAGGAAATTTTCCAAGAACCCAGAATTATTAAAAGAAAATAGCAAATTAATGGTAGTTTTATGTTAATTATACGTGTCTAACATGTCAATTTAACCTTGTTTTACCAGTCAATCACTGAACAAAGTATAGTATTTAAGTATTATTACAATGAATTCACAATTAACTAACCATATCTGTAAGTCACTGATCAATAATTGATACACTGGCTGTCAGAGTCATAAGATGAACACATCCCAATTATTATAACTGCAAAACATTATACAGCGCACATTAATTTGAGTCTTCTGAACACGCAAGGTCGTTAAGTACTGGTTGAATTCCGATAGTTTTTACAAGACCTCGTATCTGATGGCTTAATTCAATCAATCACATATGCTCTCAACAGTGTATCGAAATGTTTTGAATCACATAGTATAATTTTTCTTCATTAATGATACGGAATTAAATGAATTTCTCGTGAAAACTGTTTCTAACCTCCATGCGATCAAAATTACATTTAACAACAGTATTCAGTCTACCACGGCCAACCTCTCCTCTATGGTGTTCCTCCTCTCAGCGTGTAAAGTTTATGAAATTCGTTAGTGCCTTTACTGTCATATTTCCGTGTAAGTATGGAACAATATTGAAATACTTATCGAAAAATAATCTGTGAACAGTGCACTATGTTGTTAGTGTAAGCGTAAACTTATCGAAAATGTATATTGGAGTTAAATTTTATCTATTGACATCCAGTGAATTCCACTAGGAATGCCTTTTCGTCGGAGGCAGACATTAATATTCATGAAAACGAATTATGAAGTGAATTGTGTTTGTGTTGCGTTTACATCAGTTTCGTTTCGTTTTCAAAAGTGACAGACAAGTGGAACATTTAGATGTGTGTTCTATATTACTGCTGAGTATATCTATCAGCTGAGGGCACTATCATCGCCATTTTATATCCTAGTCCATTGCTTGTTTAGGGCCTGTTGTATTGCTTTCGGATTTACTGCGAACTTGTTTGATCATTACATTTATTTTCATTTTGCATTCATTTTGTTATAATATTTATTTTACATATTTTTTTACTTCCTTTTCATTTGACAATTATCCTAATTCTTTTGACACATTACTATCATTTTCATGAAGTCTTTTGTTCAAAACAGCTCTCAATTCTTTGTTTTGAATCTTTTCAATTTATTTTCCATTTACCACTGTAAGAATGGTTGAACAGTACCACAAATGGAATCAAAATTGCTTTAAATAATCTTTCCTGGTCTTGAAATAACTTTCCCCAATTTATATAACAATTTAACTTTATTGGCTACTTTGTTGTTAATAAATTGAATATGATCTTCAAAACTTAGATGGCTACCCAGGCGGAACGGAATTTATTGTAATAAAAAAAGTAACATAGGTAATAATTGAACACTTACAGTACAAACAAGATATCATATGCAAAATTATGACTGTCAGTATAATATATAAACTATTTTTCATAAAAAATCTCCATGCACATGTGTATCTTTAATACTTTGACAGGCCATCTTTGGTGGCTATTAGAGCTTTAATTGTTTTTGGCATGCTATTAATGCATGCCTAAACTGTTTCTTGCAACTTTGGATGATGGTACCAGACTTGAATTATTTTCTCAAGGAGGCGAATTTTTGTTGTTATTTCTTCCTCTTAGATTTCCCTCTTCATGAGCTCCCAAGCATTTTCTATTGGGTTCATATCTGGTGAATTTCCTGACCATGGTAACACAGGAACATTTTTCTCCATCAAAAATGATCGAACTGGACAAGCAGTATGACATGGAGCCCCATCTTGCATAAAAACAAATGATTCTTCATTTGTGAACCATTCCTGTAGATGAGGCAGCAGTCATTTCTCCAATATTTGCTTGTAGTGGTCTTGTTTCATGATGCCCTTAACCAAGTACAGAGTGAGTACAAGATCAGTGCCTTTGCCACTGATCACTGACCAAATCATTGCCTTGATTGGATGTTTCACAGTCTGGATGACACAATCTGAATGATACTTTTCACTAGAGCGCCTTCTCACAAATTGATGTTTGTTTGCTAGAATTTTGAAAGTACATTCATCGCCAAAACAAACTTGAAATACAAGTAAACAACATTAGAATTAATTTTGGTAGCCCTTTATAATTATAAAAAAAAGCACTAGACTAAATTTTTACCGATTTCCAGAAGTCCAAATCTTTATTCTTAAGGTTCTTAGCCCCTGCAAGACGTTTTTCTTTCATACCAGCTGTTAATCTGGGTTTGTGGTTGGTCTACAAGCTTTAAAATTCATTTGCAGTAGTGTACGCCTCACTGCCCTTTCAGATACACAGATTCCACTACTTTCCAATTTAAATTTAGTTTGTTTAGTAGTAGCAAACCAGTTTTCATGGCAAATCTTCCTCAAACATCTCTCAGATCTTGGAGAAAATATTATCTTCCATCCACCTGTGTTCTTCCTTCGTGGGGATAATTCTTCACCAAGGATAACTTTTTTCTTAATTCGCAGAATAGATATCTCGAATATGTTCAACCTTTGAGTTATCTTACGATTTGAAGAATTTTCTGTGTCGACAAGAGATTTCACTGCTGCGATCTTCTGAGGAGACAAATCACTTGCCTTTCCCATTATTTATATTCAAAACTATCAGTTTTTCATATACAACAATTCACAATTTTTAAATAAACACGGCTATAACTGTTTCACAAACTGATAAATGGAAAATAAACTATTTTCATGCAACAACACACTACTCATGTTACCTCTTGTTCTACTCAACTCCTATAATTTGTGCGTCTAAGCATCAGTGAGGTGTCACAACAATCATACATAATGACAAATAATGTGTTAATTGTTAGAAAAAGAAGCTTTGTTTTTTATTTATTGATTCGCAACAATGCCAGATGTAATGTATTGCAGTGAGACACTTCAAAACTTAACATTTTGTTAAAAATTTGGAGTGCGTCTAATAAAATGGCCAGGGACTGTATGTATATGTATATATACATATATTCAAATTATGTAAACAAAAAATATTATAGACTTCAAAATTCCTGTATTGTTTGCCTATATTATCCTGCATTTGTTTACGAGCAAGAATGTCGTCAATTGGTCGTATCATGGATTTGGAGAGAAGGAAAGAAAGTTCTTCTACAAAAGTAATTGTACTGTAGTTTCTTTCACCATATAAAATATGTTCATCCTATATACACTTTGTGGAGATGGTGCTCAAGTGAATAGGGCCATGGTATCAATGATGGATCCCGATTGTGAGGGGAAGGGACACCCCGCCACCCAGGCCTACACCAAAAGCGCGACAAAGCAATGAACTAAGTATATATGTTTGTTTTTTTGTCATGTCACACAGGGATGTATGAAACATCAGCAAGCATGAGGTTGTTATTACTTCTGCTTGAACCAGAGTATGGGTTTGTGAAGAAGTAAGGGGAGGAATAAGTGTGACGGTTCATGAAGGATGATCTTAGAAGCGCATTGCATTGCTGTGTAAGAAAAATGATTCTAGTAACATGGTATATTGCAAACTCTCATCTGAAATGTTCAATTTTGACTTATCTGTAATTATGACTGAGTTATGTGTAATTGCCCGAAGATGTTTGTATGTCCAAACCCATTTCACATTTTCACCGTAAGCACAATTGATTGTCTTGATTATATTTCTTCCCTAAATTTATCTTGCCCCACAATTATACTTTTTTTTACCAACATTAACACTTCAAAAATTCATGCTCACCCATTCACTAACCCAAGTTAAGTCTATATTTATTCTATTTATCTCATCTTGTACATTATTACCATATAGATAAATCAGTGTGTCATCTGCAAACATATGGACTCTACATTGCTTTACCACTTCTTGTAGGTCATTTATGTATAATGTTTTGTGGTCCGAAGTTACTTCCGAGACTTTAAGATTACAAAAAAAGAAATTATACAAATAATAAGCATATCTCACCCACGTGATCCTTGCAAGCCTGCCTCTATTAATTTAGGTACCTTACCATTACCTTGTGTCTTCATATTTGAATCACTGTTTTTTGTTAAAAGTGACTTACTCAAAGGAATATATTTTCAGCATTCATAGGTGACAACATGAACAGCTCACTATAAAAACTCACTCACAATACATGTACGTTATTTTACAACACCTTGCCAGATGACATTAAACGATTACATTCGATACAAAAGCTAAAGTCCCAAGTAAAATCTTTTCTGCTGCACAATTGTTTCTATTCAATGAGAGACTGTACCGAACATCCAAAAGGCAAGTAATATTAATTTTAAAAATGATATTTAGTGTATTATTTACCCTTTGGATTGTATAATTCCAAAGAAGCTGTAACAAGTGTTGTACTTCGGCTTTGGGTCAAAGACCCCCATCTCAATAAGTTTTTCATCCAGTTTTCCTGATCCTTGAGCAAATGCTGAGATGGACCCTTATTTTGCTTCTGGACATAAATGTAACTTCAATTTAACTTCTCCTCATAGCAAGTCACACACAGTTTTTGACGTAAATTAATATTACTTGTTATTCATTAGATACATTATTGTTAAATCTGACCTAATACCTGTAATCTAAATAATCTTTTAACCATTCATACCCATGACCACTTACATTAAATATGTCTTTCAATTTTTCTAATAGTAACTTCATTATATGTTTCAAACGCCCATCTATAATCCAAATACATTGCCATTACCTACCCCATCACCCCTATCAAAAGCTCTTAACTAATCCTTGTTTACCTATGGGCGGATCCAGAGACGAATTTTGGAAGGGGAAATGCTAAACATTTTTATGTATATTACAGATTTTGTAAATCATTGCATGCTACACTCAGCTGGTGCTGTGATATAATTTTATTTTTTGAATGATAATCCGAAAATATTTTTGCTTGAAAGTTTCATGACAAGTTAAAATAATGGTTACTGAAAAATTGGGGGGGGGGGGGATTTCCCTTCGCGCCTGAGTTACCATTTGCAATGCTGTCTCTGTGCTAAGCGTTTGTCTAAAACCTGACCAGCTTTCAATCGACAAATCGTTTTCTCTAACATTTTTAATTAATGTTTCATACACCACAGCTGCTATGATTTTTTTTAATTACTGGAAGAGTATTTATTGATTTAAGATCATTGCATTTTGCACTACCCTTTATTTTAGCTGTAGGAATAATCATTGATGTTTTCAGTGTCTTTGGTGCCTTTACTTTAGTAGGTGATTGTGTAATAATTTGAGGAACTTTGTTTCCAATTACTGTCTCAGGTCTTTTTTTTATCAATTCACTAATTCCATCTGGTCCATTTGTGTCTCTTTAAATTTTTAACAATTGTTCCAATCTCTTGCAATGCTACATCCTGGAATACACTTAGAATATTTTTTTAACCATTTCATAACCTATTACACTAGGTTTTCCACTATTTCACATACATTTCTAACAAATAATATTGTAGTCTCATCAGCACCTCATCTGAGTTAAATACATATTCATCACTAAAAACTAGGTATTTCATTTGTTTCTCATTAATTTTATAGAGAGTTTTTAGGGGCTTCCATAATTTTTTAGGTTCAACTTTGCCTTTGAAAACTGTCTCGATAATACTTCCTTTTCGTTTCTCTCCAACTGCTGACAGAGTAATTTCTACACTTTTTATATCTTTTCCATGCTGTTCCCATGTCTATACCTACTTCATTTAATAATGGAAATCTGCTGTACGCAATTATAATAGATCAACTTGTATCCAACGCTACCACTAATAGAATTCCTAATTTCTGGAGAACACCTAATGTAAATTCATATGTTGTTTAAATAATGCAATGTTGTAACCAAAAACATCCTTTCACCATATTTCTTTGAAAACAGCAATGATTCATTTGCATTCTGAGGTTCCCCCCTTCCCATGCCTTTCCGAAATTTGTAAATGTTTAAAGTTTCAGTGTATTCATCTGGCTGGAAATTTCTTGTTTTGCTACGGTGCCATTAAATTATTATATCAGTTCCGGGACTTTCAAGTGTTCTTTCCAAGGGGGATGCTGTCAATCATTTTGGAAGATTCCATCATAGATTTTTGTTAAATAATAAACACATTTGTTATTATATTGTATTTTATTTTGTAGTGGGTATATAATAATATATAATATTATTCTTTTAAAATAATCACAGATTTCTAACACATACTTTAATCAACTTTGCTAAATAAAAGAACAAGTAAAAACTCTGGGCCTTTTGGGAGAGGAGAGACATGGCCCTCCATCCCCGGATCCGCCCCTGGTTCTTTTAATAGTACAATTAATATTTTACCATTTGACCTTCGGTATTATTGCTCTCTTTGATACTTACATAACTTAGATTATTTCATTGTAATTGCACTCATAAAGGAAGTCGGTGAGTTTAAAGTCCTTCAGAGCTGGTTTATTTCTTGGGATGTTTCAAAGATACCTTTCAATTTTTTACTTGTAACAAGATTATTTAATTCATGTATTATCTCTATTTTCAGGTCTCGCATATACTTTGTTGGGTAAATAATAAATAAATAATATCAAATATAATATAATGGATGCAATCTGGGATGCATTGAAAAGCGTAAGTGAAAATATTTTGAGATGTTGCTAATGTAGGTAAAGTAGCTAATACACCTCTCTTCATTAAAAGTGTGGAAGTGTGACATTGTAAAGGATTGTTTAGTCGTTAGTGGTTTTAAAAACCTTCTGTAATTTTTTAAAATATTTTTGCTTCAGGACACCATGAAACAGCTAATAAACATGATAAAAAATAATAGGGTTGCAGAGTATATTAATGAATATGAGCCTGTAATTGGTGAAGTATATGAAATTTGTAGTATTATTCTCTTCTTGAAAAGAATTATTGATATATTTTTATTAGCTTATTCATTTATTGTTAGAGCATGTAAATGTTGTAATAGATGTATTAATTATATTAAGAAAAAACTTGGGATAAGGTGGGGGAAATACATACAATTTGAGCAAGAACACAATAATGAAAACAGTAATGTTAATTACCATATTCAGGGCAGCACATACCCACTGCAACATGAAACTCCACAATCATCAAATGGAGCCAGTCAATGTTCAATGGGATATAGCGATGTTGTCATACCTATTGAATCACTTTTAATCACGGAGAGAGAAAGAATGAGATCCTCCTTTTAATCCTTTTTAACTCCTCCTCATAATCTTCTTGAAGGCATGATATAAGAAAATGTCCATGGTTAAACTGTACACTTTTAATTTCAGCAACATCTTGTGGCTGATTAAGGACATTTTAGATGTTTGGTCCATGTTTACGTGTATTAATATTCAGTAGAACCTATATGTAACGTGACCTCAGTTTCAAAATTTTCCTGTAGAAAAGACAATTTCTGCTAGTACGCTGTGTACGTACATGTGGATGATGCATGGCTGTGAGCCTCGTGTATCAATTTAATTGGATTTTATGAAAAAAATATTTTCTTTGTAATCTTACAGATTCACTGTAAGAAAAACAAGAATGAATTTTTTTAAATTTAACAATTTATTTAACAACACTTCTTAATTTCCTCATATTTTTTCTTTTATTTGGTAATATTTCAATGCCCCAAGGTCAGCATGAATAAAAGAAATTATTTCAGCAAATGTCGCATGTTGAAAAATTGCAAAAATAAATATCAGCGTTATGTAACAAGATTAAGGATGATTTTTCAAGAAAAGGACAAGAAATTTTCTGAAAATATGCTGTTTAGATGAGAAAAAGGAGTGATGAATGAAAAATTTCGGAATAGACGTCAGGCATAGGTCACCTATGTGGATGTTTCATGGGCTGCGAGTCTACTGTACAAATTAATTGTATTTTTTTAAAAATCTTTAAACACAATTAAAAATTTTAATTAATTTTAACGATTTACACTACAAAACTTTTAAATTTCTTCATATTATTTCATTTAATTTGGTAATATTATGTTGTTTTAGTACCAGCCTGAATAAAAGAAATATTTCTGCAAATGTTGAAAATTTAAAAATAAATATCAGCGTTATGCAACACTAAACCACGATATGCCTACTCCTATGTATCACAGCATAACGTTGCCTCAAACCCTCTGCACCCTCTTCAGTGTCACGTAATTAATGAACTCGATGATTAAAAATCAAGCAGTTTTTACTTATTATTTTTTTAATAAAATTGATAATGCTTTTTTAATTTAAATTTATTTCTGCAAAGTATACTGCACCATTGAGTGTAAAGCCCCTTTTAAGGAAAGAATTTTTGGCCATCCTGAGGTGATGTTAAATGAAGGTTTTACTGTTCTTGAACAACGCCGTCTGCACTTTGTGTAAGAATAAATGGTGTTACAAATGGTGTAAGAATAAACACTAGCAGCAGACGCTTTTCATATAAACCATTTATAATGATCACAAGCTTAGGTTTTTATCTTCATTTTTCTGGGATGACAAAATGTTTCTGTGAACGAAAATAGTTTTTTAATGGAAAATTTCTGCCTCGCGGTTAATATAACTTACATCTTTTAAGAAACACTTTAAAAGGTTTTTCTACAAAATTGAATACATCATTTTACAAGTTATATCTCTAGATTAGTAGTAGTAGTAGTAGTAGTAGTAGGTAGTAGGTAGTGAGTAGTGGTAGAGCCTAGAGTACATTTGCCATTAGTAAGAAGATTGGTTATCATCAACAGTCTCTTTCACGACATACTATGAAAATATAGATCGTCGAAAATGACACTATGGTAACTGAAAAGGCAGGAAGGACAACCTGGCGCACTCAGCAGACTGATGCAAATATAGGATGCCCAGCCAAGGAAAGAGAAAAATGCTGAGTTGTGTATGCACAATATATTACTCAATGCTGCACCTATATGGGCAGAAAGCAGCACAGAGAGTAAATACAATAAGACAAAACTCGTCAGGACGCATAGGAAAAATGGCGCTGCGAATTGTATGTGCATACAGAACAGTATCCGCGATTGCAGCATTGGTTCTCGCAGGACATATGCTCGATATTCTGCCCAGAAGAAAGGCATTACATGAAGCAAGAGAGAAAGGCACAACAAAAAAAGAAGACCCGGGAACAATGCTTCAGAAAATGGCAGAACGAAATGGGACAAACACGCCCAAAGCTTTATGGGACACGGCGTCAGATCAAGAGATACAGCCACGAGTGACACGACAAACATGACCACCTAAACTATCATACAACACAATATTTCACAAGAACATCGGTAACTTTGAAGTATACACGCTTAAATTGGCAACAACGCTAGATGACTACGCCGCTACTGAGTCAGGCCAAAGATACATGCGCGAAGCACAGCTTTCTTCGCGTGCGTGTAATGGGAGAAAAAAGATTCGACCTAAATCTATCAACTGGAAGAGGACCCTAACGAAAACAAACGGAAATGACAAAAGCAAACAGCAACTGGAGCCAAAAATAAGCACGTATTTGTCTACTATCTTAACAACAAACAAAGGAAAAGACGAGACTTCACGACGAACACTCCTGAACCCCTAATCACACGGTTTGGAGGTGGGACGTAGGGAGCTATGAACAAAACGAAGAAGTGGAATAAAAGACAGCCCACTGCCTCCTTCGTGATGGTCAATCCGGGTTGTTCCTGGGGCAGTAAGAAGGGCGGTTCGACATGGCCACTTGTTGTCGTTAGCAACTGCGCAAAAAAGTAGTAGTATAGGTACTATTAACCTTGAAAGTATCCGGAAACACTGAAATTACAGAACCGCGGACTACCCCCCCCTCTCCAGCTACCAAACTTTACAAAATGATATTTCGACGTGCTCTACAAGGACAGTGCAATCCAGAAGGCCCACCAATACACCCACATGATGCATGAAACGTCTACAGAAAGCAATGCAACAACCTCCAAGATCCGCTCCAAGAGTCAACAAAATAGATCCTCCATGGTGGGGACCTGAACTCTCTGCACTAAGAAAGGATGTCCTTGCCACAAGAAGGAAACATCAAAGGCAGAAAAGAACAAATTCCCCGAGCGAACCGAGACCTGATAGTCTCTATAAAACTTATACCCTCTGCAAAAGAATTGCTCTAGAAAAACGGAAGTGTTGGCTCCAACTATGCCAGAATGTTGAAACAAATGTGTAGGGCGATGGCTATAGAATAGCTATCAAAACATTGCGCGTAAATGAACCCAGAGTACATTTGCCTTTAGAAAGAAGATTGGTTATCAACAACTGTCTCTTTCCACGACACACCAAGAAAATATGGAACGTCGAAAATGACAAGGGTATTCCAGCCCTGACAGTGAGCGAGCTCCGAAACGCCGCAATGAAATTAAATAAGGTAAAGCACCAAGACCAGATGTAATACCGCCGGAAGCAGTGAAAATGCTGGTGGACGTGGAGTACTCGAAACGTACCTTGGAAACATTATTAAAGCGAGGTACCTTCCCATGTACCTGGAAAAAGGCTAGAGTTCTATTAATACCTAAACCTGGGCTCAAAAGCTATAGACACATATGCCTGCTAGATACTCTCGGCAAACTGTGCGAGCATGTGATATTAGGGAGTCTAACAGAAGAAATTTATTGAACAAGAAATTTGAACGACAGAACCAAGACGGAAGAGAGATATGGGATGGCCGGAGAAAAGATGGAAAGATAGTAGAGACGGAACAGGCGCTAGCCTAACTCCTGAAGTGTAGAAGATATATTAAAATGAGGTGTTATTGTGGTTAAATAATTACATTCGCTAGAGATGAAAACCAGGGTGCTGCCTTAAGGTCAGACACTTGAAGCTCACAGTGCTGTTACTCATTTCAAATTTTATTTTTAACTTCCATCTTGTATTTAAAATGCTTTGAAACAATTGAGGCATCCAATGAAAAAGGGAGCTAACCCACAAAATTCAAAATAACAATTTATGAACGTATTAGATTACGAACACATTGATAATGTCAATAAATTGATGTTTCAAAATTTGTGTGATAGCTCCCTCTTTAACTGGATGCGTCAATTTTTGCATTTGACAAGCTTCTGTTATTATGTTCTTATAAGTTGTTTTTAAATTATGTTATCCTTGGTTCGCAAGTTCTTACAATAGGAAGACATTTCACACAATTATAATACTGATGATTATTATGAAACTGATGCTTAAACTTAAGTATTGACACATTACGTAATAGTCTCAAGAGTTCGCTGCTATTAATGCAAAGAAATGAAACTTTAACCGTTTTGTAAATTGTAATCAGAATGGTTCAAATAAAGTTTGGTAAAATTTATTTTATTCTATTTATTATGACATGGCTGATTTCCCATCAGATCCTGGTGTAGAGATCTTGCTTTTGGATTCAACAGGTTTTTTTGGATATAAAGGTTGTGCAAACAAAACTTCATTCATATTTTTCATCAAACAATATACGAAGAAAATATTTGAATATAAATTGTAGGTTTACAGGATGGTTTGACCAAACCCACCATCAGTTCTATTGTTTACTTAATACTTCTCTAGTTACATTCAGGTGACTTGATATTTATAAACCAACATTATTAGAGGGTAAAGAAGACTTCAATTTTCTATTCTTGTAATGTCTAGGAAGTTGGGGGGAAATTCTACCTACTTAGTGTTTGAAGCATAAAATTAGTTGTGATAATATATCTTGTTTATTTTATTCGTATTATAGTATTTTAAGGATTGTATTTTTTATTACTGTCCAGTCACTTCATCTTAAAGTAGGGAAAATTTGTTTCAAGCATTTTACTTTAAATGCGGAGACACTATCTAGAGTAGCTAGGGAAAATCCAAGCACTTGTACAAAGATGTGCGAGGCCTTGTGTTAAATTCTAGACTTTTTTTTAACAATTGAAGGGTTGCATCAGATATAGTCTTAAGCCACAAAATTACTTCTTCACAGGAGAGCACTTTCAAACTGTGTATCGTACCTATTTCTAACCTTCAGAATGACAGAGAGGAACATTAGCTTATGACTTCTCTGGCGTCGTTAACACGAGGGCCAGAACCGTTAGGTCGGTGAAAGTGCGCTGCGGGGGAGGAAGGGGTTGAGCCTGAACTTCCGGGATTTTGCGCTCTGGCAGTTGAAGCAGGTAGGAGTAGCAGAGCCAAAAATAACCTTAGGCTGTAAACTCCTAGGATGCTAGCCAGCGATTCAGTTTACATCGGAGAGCGTTGTACGAGTAAGTACAAGGAGTGTAGGAGGGTGGGAGAGATGTCCGGAGCGTAAGGGCCAGACGATCTCGCGTGCTGTAGGCACACGGTCGCCACGACCGGCTTAAATTTTGGCGTCAGGCCATGTGACGGTAATTGTCACGGGACGGAAGTCGCATCACGCGTGGCTTTTATTTTTCTGCGGTAAAGCAGGGTACAGGAAGGAAAAGGTTGCCGGAGTGTTTAAATTTAGCAATTTATTGTAACTAGTCTAACTTTTCAATATACTACTATTTTTTTGTTATTTGAATTTATTTCTCAATCACTACGTCACACTTCTTCATTGGCTGCTGGATCAGTTAACATCAAGAATTAGGAGACATCTGCTGTAAATCTACTGTACATATAGGAAAAGTGAAAACCGCCAAGGATGTGGCTTATGACTACCTCTGATGCGACCCTTCAATTATTTTAATATATTTAGGTGTGCTGAACCTGTGTGAAAACTCAGCACTTTGTAAATGTTTTAAAAGTGAAAAAATACTTCACGGTAGAATCCAGCTTCAAGTAACCAGCCTATGAACTGTGCTTTAAGTAAGTATAGGTTCAGGTAAGTTATGGGCTCAGTTTGGTGAGAAAGTAACCATTTTAACATGCGCGCGGCGATGGTGTAACGGTTAGCGTACCGGACTGTTGTACCCAAGTTGGCGGGTTCATGCGTGGATTTTTAAGGGTGAAAAAATCCTTCGTACGCCTTCCTTCGGAGGGGAAACAAAGCCGGCTGTCTCATGTTAGATTTACTTGCATGTAAAAGATCCTCACGCCTCTGAGCTAAATTCAAAATCGCCTGTTTCTCGCCCAAGAAATACCTCCATTCTCTGCTAGTTCGTGAAAGGAGCGGAGCGAAATGTGCGTGGTCAGACGGAACAGCAGGCCTCATGGCCTGAGTCTCGCCACGTAAAATAAGGCATTAATTCAATTCAATTAACATTGCCAAGCAGTGAGATTAAATTGCATGGAAATTTTTAATTTGAAATGTGTTTTTAATGTGAAAGATTTGTCTTTTTTCTTTAATTTCATTTTACATTGATTTTGGGTTTCTGCTCTCTGACCACCCACTCAGTGTGGAGCAAG